TAGAAAAAGCAAGGCGTGCTCTCATGATGCGCATCGAAATCTCGTCTCCAACAGCCCCGCCAGCAGTGATGCAACTTCCCAAGTTGACAAAGCTCTCCACAACCTCTAGTGTTTCACCACCAAGTGTGAGTGTAGGCAGAGGCACCTGCCAGTCTTGGAAGAGAGCCTTGCATTTGGATGGCGAAAAGTACATACCGTACTTTGATGCTTCATTCGCCAAGTAGTGTAGTGCAAGTTGGACGGCGTGTGGATCGTCACCCAGCAAGACGATATCATCAGCAAAATCCAAGTCAACAACTCGACTACCTGGGAGGAGCTCAACGCCAGCGTGTTACGAATCGCGTAGAGCGTTCCTCAGGACATCCTCAATGGCAAAGTTGTATAGGAACGGGGAGATAGGACATCCTTGTCGAACTCCACTAGAGACAACAAAGGTAGACGAATACTTGCCATAAGCTCTAACCCTGCCCGAGGTCAGACTGTATAGAGCGCGCAGTATGGAGACGAACTTCTCGGGGACACCGTTTCTCAATAGGCAGTGCTACAGTACTGTACGATCGACAGAATCGAAGGCTGTACGGATATCCAGGAACACAGCAATCGTTGGCCTCTGATACACATGGCGGAGCTCGAGGATCTGGCGGAGTGTGAAGATTTGATCGATGCAGCCGCGACCAGGACAAAACCCAGCTTGTTCTTCTCGTTACAACGATTCGCGCGTTGGCGATAGCTGGCGAAGTATGCTGGACACCAGCAGCTTGCGAACGACGGGGACTAAGCTTATGCCTCTGTAGTTGTAGTAGATTGTGCGCAAGCCCTTTTTGAAGATGGGGACGACTATCGTTTCACTCCAAGATTACGGGACTTTCTCTTTCGACCATATTTTAGAGTTCTCGAAAAAGCGAAGCGCCACCATTTTTCAATAGAGCTGGAGGAAGGCCATCAGGCCGGGAGCTTTATAGCGCTTCATGGGCTGGAGCTCCTGCTCGAGTTCCTGGAAAGAGGGAGGATCTGTGGGGGTAGACCATTCGGCCCCAGCGCGAGTGCCAGAGGTAGCAGATGGAGTTGGGGCCCAACAAAATTGCGAGCCAAAATGTTCGGCCCATCGCTCCAACCGTCGTTGAAGATTGGTGATTAAGGTGCCATCCTCTTCGCATATTGTTTCACTTATACCAGATCGAACACCTTCGGTGACTCGAATGAGATGGAAGAGTTTCCTGGTATTACCAGAGAGACTAGCAAGCTCCATCTCCCTAGCACTTTCACCCCACCAAGCTTCGCGGTCCATTTGCAGACTACTGCGCAACTCTCGACCAAGGTACTGGCGTTCCTCACTGTGTCTGGAATCCGATGGGAGCAAGCGGCGTCTGTCCATCAGCGACAAGGAGTCGGGGGAAATCCAATGTTTCGGTGGGTGACGGATAACTCTACAGGTGTCGGTAATGGCAGAAACTAAGGCATCTTTAATACGCGCGCATTGCGGATCGAGATCACCATCAATAGTTGAGCCAAGTAAGGTTGACAGTGAGGCTTGGTACCTGGTTAAAATCGCAGGGTTTTGTAGATTTGCGACGTCCGGTCGGTAGAGATCGCGCTTAGGTGATCCTCCGAAACGCACGCAAATCTTAGCATGAACCAATGCGTGATCGTAGTCTAGATAAGTTGATCAGTACGATCGACAGTCCGTTACGCTTCCGCGCCATCTGTAGCTGATTGCTATGTGGTCAAGCTGGGTGCACTCTTGCGTATGTGAGGGCGGGCGCCAGATAGCAATGTGTCTCCTCGTGCCAAAAACTAGTGCTCGAAAGAAACAAGCGATGATCAGAGCAAAGAGCAAGCAGTCTGTCTCCATTGTCTGATCAACTGCCACCGAGACCAAAACTACCCCCAAGGTGGTGTTCGCTTGGTGGAAGGCGGTCCATCCGTGCGTTAAAGTCCCCGGCAAGAATGACTATATCAGTCATTTTGGAGGAACGCAGAAGTTCATGTAGTTGTTGATAAAAGCTATCTTTAACTGCCTCCGGGCTGCAGTCTGTAGGGGCGTAGGCAGAGACGATAAATAAGGCCCGCCTAACGTCTCGACGCCTGCTTACGTTACAAGAACCTCGTAATCTGACTGCACATAGCCGACTGTTGACTGGGATCCAGTCAAGCAGAGCTGATTCAGGCCTGGCACTCAGTACAACCCCAACACCAGCTTGACCAGTGACGGCAGCTTCTGGGTCTCCGGAAAGCCGTAAATAGTATTTGGCATCAGGGTTTACCGGTGAAGCCATTCTGATGACGGCGCTAGAGTCTTGTAATCTTGTCTCTGAAAGGCAACGGATGTCTACCGAAAGTGTTTCAAGAGTACGGGCCAGACATCATTGTCGTCCGATCTGCATCAGAGTTCGAACATTAAACGCTGCGAGGGTGAATGGAGAACCACGTCGAAGAAGGGCTGGAGCTTCGGTGGAGTGAGAGGCGGTTGCAATCGCAGGACATTGAAAACCGGGAGTTTGGCTGTTGCTTCCATCAGTTGCGAGACGCGGGTTGTTTGTGACGGTGACCGTAGAAGACATAAGAGAACACATATGTGAAAGGGGGCAAGTGGGTTGGTCTGTGAGTGGAGGTTGACCGGTTGAATTAGCACAGAAGTTAGGCATAGCAGAAGCAGTTGTAAGCGGTGTAGTCCATGCTTCGTCAGTGAGAGTAATACTACCCGGTTACCCAGGCCGAAGTAGAGGATTGTCTTAGGGGGCCCTACCCCGAACCTTTGATCAAAAATCTAACCTACAAGGCAGCAGGGCGATGTGAGGGCGTCGCAACCCGTTGGGAGCCGGTGACCAAATAGATGGTTCATACGCATTTCGGTCCGTGAAGGACCAGGGGCCCAACACACCCTTGAAGTACAATGCCTCTCAGGGAGGGGCAAGGGGCAGTGACTTTATTTAGTGGCGGGTCACATCCGCCACGTCGCAGTGTTGTTAAACAGACATTAGTGGCTTTTTATAGGGAGAACGCTTGCTTCGCGGAAACCCACCACGTCCTGGAACACTGTCGCCGAACCATTTGCTGGAACGGGAAAAACCCGAACCACCCAGCTGGCACCACGAGGAAGTTGTTCGGCAAGCCAGTCTCTTCGATAGATCAAATGCTGGTATGAATTCCTCAGTAAGTAAGGAGAATACCATCCCCATCAAGGGATATAAGAATCAGGAAGAAGCTGTTTCTCTTCTATTTGTGGTATGGCCGATATCGGAAGGCATAACGAGAGGCCACCACGCTTAATTGCGTTGACTTTAAGGTTAGTCGAATAGCTTTATGACTGCTCCTAAGAAGTTTACTCAGATTGCGTTAATGCACTGGGTATGCCGGACTTCAATTATAGGTTATGAACCTTAGTACTTCTCCTAGGCGAGCAAACTTCCTGCGTTCACCCATATACGAATACTGAAAAGATGATATTCCGATACCTAGCTGATGCGGTTTGTTTTTGCCATAAAACACTGGATATGTGAAGAGCGTCCCCAATACTTTTCTGACCGGACGTCAATTCAGATGCTCATCCAAATAGTACAGTCCATTGATCTTATCTAGTCTGAATGGGTCCAGGCGGCAAGTAAATGCAACAAGGAGTTTATCTATACTTGCACCCAGACGAAACTCTCATTGCTGACTAAGGCATCATTTATATGCACAATGTAGCCGCCACCTCGGCCATGAAAACGAGCGCTAGCAAAAGCCGTGAAGCCGTGAACAAACAGATCCATGCACTACGAGCTGAACTATGCCTCTGTTACCAGCGTCATATGAGCGTGGGAAAGGAATGATAAGGGTGTCAAGTGATGCATCTTGTTTGCTAGCGATCGAGCGTTGGTCAGACGAAACTTAATTACATTATTTGTGCTAGGAAGCTTGCTGTCTCTGACACCAGCCTGTTCGGTACAGCGTTATCCAATAATATATTCACTCTAGTGTTGTGATGCGAGATCACGTACGATCTGGCTGTACTCATTGCTGACAGTATTTGAGGGTCCATGTGATATTGATCTACCGTACATAATACGATTTATAGAGACTGGTGCTGGTCAAGAATGATGGAGCAGTCTGTTAATGCTTCGTCGAAATGAATACTAGAGTGAGGTTGATCATGAGAGTGTACATGGTTTGCGGAACGACGCAGTGTATACCGTATACCCGACAACTGGTATGGAGGAAGTCAGGCGGGCATCGGATGAGATGGTGGGTTCCCAAAAGTTGCAAACGCATGTCAGCCGCATGTAGCAGCATATTGCGATAACCGACTATTTGATGAAGGCGAGAGTCAAAATATGGTGCAAGTTGTGCTTGAGAAGTCTCATAAGACTGTATGAGCCTGCTGCCACAGTCACTAGCCTGGCAAAGTTGCACATTTGTACCTAGAGCTAACGGGATATGGGGCGTATGAGTTAGCGGATTGAATACCACTGTGCGAGTTCGGATAGCCCAAGTCTGGGGAGAAACGGGCCGACCATCTTCGGCTTAACCGAATAGAAATGCTTTTTTACTAGGTGTCTGTGGGCATTTGTTTGGTCCCTGTGCATGGCTCGCGCCGATAACTGAATACAATAATTTGTGGCATGCTTCCCTTAAACCCTTGCTCTTAATCTAACAGTATTAACCGTATGCTAGGTCGTTCATGTCTTGCCACTTAGTTGACCGTTTATTTTACTGCTCTTCTGGAAAGCGTTATGATGACCGCGCTGCCGAGGTTTTGCTCCTCCCATTGATACCTTCTTAGTTATTCCTATCGGTATACACTAATCGATTCTCTGAACGGTCACCGTACTTTAATTTTTCACAGTCCAGTGGTTCCGTTTCAGTGAATTCCTCTCATTTACATCAGGAGACGAGCTACGAGAGGCACACAGATGCAGATGATATTTGTAATTTCTCTGCCATAACATTAATTGCACCATTTGTCATCCCAGTTATCTACCAACATGCAGACCATGCCACTTTGTTTTATGCCGTTTCAGCTGACTTACTACCCCGGCGATGCCGGCCACTTAGCATTTTTTCGGCAAACGGCTGGGGCACACGCACGATTCTCCGTACATTGCAAGTCATCCATTGCCGTAGTCCACATTGAGCATAAACAGACGATGGAAGTACTGAGACTTAGGTATGATTTCACTCCATGTATTCTTTTTGTCTCCTTTATTCTCATATACAGTCGAATACTTTTACCACTGTTTGTTTTCTCTACGGAATTCCAGATACTTTGTCGTCATTAGCTCACTTCAGTTCTCCAATTTGCCATTTCATACGTCATCGTTCGTGCCAGTTTCCGGAGTTCCCTGTTACTGTGATCAGTCATAAGACAACTTCGCCTACAAAGAGACCACTGACGCACTCAGTATCCAGTGTTAACTAGGGATTATACTATAGAAATGTGTTCGGTTGTCACAAATTGTTCATACAGGCGGAGTCCTCCTGAGGTAGCGAAATTTTGGTGAGTTTTGTGAGAGCACGCCAGCGAACCTGATTTACGGGCAGCACGTCAGCCATGACTCCGGTGACGACTAAAACACACATAACTTTAACTGTGTTTAAGGTAGTCGTTCATCTATCTATCTACCTACATATATATCATCATCATCATCAACAGCAGTACATCAGCAATTTGAACTGATGCTTCGCTACCATACAACCACGAGGACCTATGAAATAAAGAATAAAACGAGGGAGAGAAGGGGGAATTACCTGAAAACCTTAATGCCCTAAGCAAACATTCAGGGTCAAGGCGCCTACACCTTGTGTAGACAACATTCCGTCACAAACAGCTGGCTATCGTGCAAAGATAAGGCGGCATCGGCGAGACAGCTTCCTTGCGGCTTTCACTGCCACGCGTCATAATCATCCATTACCCCGCAGATAACTCAGCACCAAACACACTTTAAACAGACAATCCGATTAGGAGACGGCAGCAGACGCGCCACTGGTGTCGGTTGCGAGCCATGTCCTGTAAAGTCTCGAGCCAAGCACAAGGCGAGTCACGTGGGCTCCAACCCGGAAGGCGAGACGGACCAACGGCACCCAGTTTAGTTGTCAGTGACTTCATTTCTCGCTGCCAAGTCAACTTCTGTCCACCTCGAGCCTTGCGCCATCCTACACCTGGTAGACTAAACAAGGCCCTCCTGGGTAAGCGGTGACCAGGCATGCGTAGCACGTGCCCGAGCCAAGGCAACTTATTTAGTGCTATCTGTTGTTCTAGGGAGCTAGCATGATTATCACCACCTAGTACTCGCCTACGCACATCATCGTTGCGGACACGCTGGTGCCATCCGACACCAGCAATGCTTCGCAAACAACGATGATCAAAGACTTGAAGGCACCTCAGATCTTCAGACCGAAGCGGCCATGTTTCACTAGCATAGAGCAGAACGGCCCTCACTGTGGCCTTGTATATACGGCCTTTCAGACGGAGAGAAACTCCCTTCTGTCGCCAAAGATGCCGCAGGTTCAAGAAGGCAGCTCTGGCCTTTGCAATGCGTGAGCTGACGTCAGTTTCTATGCGCCCATCATTGCTGATGCAGCTGCCAAGATAAGTGAAATGATCAACCACCTCGAGTTCCTCGTTAGCAAGCGTCAAGGGGTCATCGAGTGGCTGGTGGTCCTGCAGCAACACTTTGCACTTTGAAGGTGCGAAGTGCATACGAAATAATGGGATCACTTTGGATAGGCTATTCAGGGTTGACTGTGCCGCCTCAACATTGTCGAAAATCAAGACAATATCGTGCGCATAATCTAGATCAACTAACCTTTCACCACGCAGCACTTCAACGCCTCCATCATGAGATTCCGCAAGGGTACACTCCATGATAGAATCCACGACGAAATTGAACAAAAACGAGGAAATCGGACAACCCTGACGAACGCCACTTGTAGTCGAAAAGCTATCCGATAGGGCACCATAGACCCTGACGCGGCCTGTAGTGTTTGAGTATAGTGCACGAAGGATGTTCACATATTTCGTGGGAACACCTTTCCGCGCAAGTATTTCGAACAGAATCGATCGATCGAATGAATCGAACGCACTCTTGAAATCGAGGAACACAGCTATTGTCGATCTGCGGTATGCGTGGCGCTGCTCTAGCACCTGCCGCAAAGTAAATATATGGTCTATACAGCCACGTCCTGGGCGAAAACGGGCCTGCTTTTCCCTAATCCGAGATTCCCATTCTGCAGTGAGGCGACGAACGATAATCGAGGCCAGTAATTTTGTCACAACTGGCGTTAGGCCAATACCCCTGTGGTTAGAACAGTCTGTGCGACTGCCCTTCTTGTATATTGCCACTATAATCGATTCGCTCCAATTAGCCGGGACACTCTCTTCGTTCCAGATACGTTCGAATAGGGAGGTCAGTGCCCTGCAGAGGACCTCACCTCCATCCTTAAACAGTGCAGGTGGGAGGAAATCCGGGTCAGCGGCACGAAAACGATTAAGGGCTGTGATCGCGTTTCGGACCTCAGCCTCCGACGGAGGCTCTAAACTAACCGTCCATGGCACGTCCTTCATCACCTGAGTAGGAAGAGGTCCGGGAGCAGGGGGCCAGCTGAACTGATCTTGAAAGTGTTCCGCCCAACGAGCCATACGGCGCTCCTTATTGTGTATCAGTGCACCCGCGCTGTCCCTGATTGCCTCACTGACGCCTGGTTTTCTGGGACCAGTGGTGCGGATTAGCTGGAAGAGCTTGCGGTAATTGCCTACTGCTCCTGCTTCCTCCATTTCTTGAGCCCCACTGGTCCACCAGGCTTCCTTGTCAGCACGTAGGCTCTGCTTTAGTTCATGCCTAATAGCCCGTCTGGTCACATTGTGTTCAGATTCCAACAGGTTCACGGACCTCTCGGATATCCAGTGACTGGTGCGGTGACGACTGATAGTGCCACAAGCTGATGCTCCTGCGTCGTGCATAGCGGCCGAGATTCTATTCCACTGAAGTTTAGTGTCATTGGGACAAGACAGCGAGAGTTCGGTATGCAGTGCTTCTTGATAGGCTTGCCTGACAGAGTGCTGTGACAATTTCTCCGTTGCCAATCGGGGGAGACGCTTTGTGCGGCTTCCGGTAAAGTTCATGGGAAACGACAGCGCACCAAGGCATGATCAGAGTCGACACAGGTACTCCAGTACGAGCGGCAATCCAGAATGGAACCACGCCACCTGTAACTTATGGCTATGTGGTCAATTTGGGTCCATCGCTGGCCAGCTACAGGTGGACGCCAAGTGGCACTTGGGTGCCCACTGTGTCTAAAAGCAGTGCTACTAAGAAACAACTGGTGCTCCGCACACAGTTGCAGCAGACGCTCGCCGTTGTCAGTCCTTTCGGCGTTATGTCCATACTTACCACCCAGCTGAGCTTCTGAAGAGCTCAGACGCCCTACTTGTGCGTTCCTATCCCCTGCAAGTACTATAATATCTGAACTAGTAGTACTGCGTAGCAGCGTGTTCAGTTCGTGATAGAAAGTGTCCTTGACTGCATTTGAACTGCAGTCGGTGGGAGCATAAACGGAAATCACAAACAAACAGCGTTTGGTACTACTTCGTGAATCAACCTTAGCTGATGTCGTCGAACGGGCTGCACATAATCGGCTGTTCACCGGAATCCAATCAACCAACGATGGCTCAGCCTTGGAGCTTAGAATGATACCTACACCATCTTGACCCGTGAGTTCTGCATCGGCCTCTTCGGATGCGTGCAACCAATAACGAGAGGATAAGCCGGGTGCAGTTAATTCAATAACATCGTTCGGATCATTGATCCTAGTTTCGGACACACAACGCACATCAATGCCTAGTGTGTCCAAGGTGCGTGCGAGTGCAGCCTGTTGACCTGTTTGTCTTAGAGTGCGAAGGTTGAATGTCGTCATGGAAACGGGACGGCATGACCTTATAAGGGACTTTTGCCGATAGGCGTCCGATAGGTGCTGTGGGATGGTGGCTGCAGATGGTTCTACTCCAGTAGCCCTTCGGTTGCTGTCAATTAAGCTGGGAGTGATAGAAGGAAGGTTAGTATTAGGTGCTGGGTTGGGAGTAAGAGAAACAGGTGGAAAAGAAAGAAGGGAGGCGCCAGCAGTAGCATGTTTCCGCTTATCCGCCCTGCTGTATGCAGCAGATAAGGCGACCCTTGATAATCTGCGCGACGGCCGATGCAGGATGAAGTTTATGTTTGAAGAAAACGTCGCAGCGAGACTGGACCCGTCGCAACGAGACTGGACTTTAACGTGGTGCGACGGTTTGCGTACCTCAGTGGCCCATTGAGCTATACTGGGTGATGCCTCCGAGCATCTTGAGAGCTACTCTTACCAGGTTGGTCAATGGTGAGAGGTCAGACAAACTCAGTCTTCTGGTCCTCCAGGTTGGGGGGTTTGAAATGGGATGGCGTCGATTTCTGTAAAACTAAATCCCTGCCACCCCGCTGCCTTGCGGACAGGCTTTTGAGCCAAAGGCTTTGGATGAGGACCCTAATCGTCCTCCTGTCTAGGTCTGGGTGCCCTGGCAGTATCCCAGCCCACATACAACCATGACATTATCTACATATATACACACACACATATATATATATATATATATATATATATATATAAGCAACTGCCTGTCAAATAGACATTGAGCCATCGAAAAACCATGGAATGAATGCGTATACTAAATACAAATATCTAGAAAGGATAATGTACAATGTGAATATTTTGTTTATTTTTTTGACAGTTTAATGATTGCGGATTTGATATCTAGAATCTATTCAAAAAGGCATGCATGCTTTCCATTGTCTGTGATTACGCGCCATCTGCTTAAGAGTTTCCAACCAGTGAAGTTCTTCTTCTCTGCCTCCTCACCCCGGAGTACGTATTCTTCCGATAACAGCTAGACTGAAAGTCGGCTCTTTTATGTTTTGTCGCCAGTTGCTGTTTTGGCCACCACGCGATTATTTCCACTGCGACCCTGTGCGAGCGCAGGGAGTGCGCCGTAATAAACGCACGAACGGCACGCGTAGGACGTGACCTGGCCACCTTTGTTAGTGTAGCGATATTAGCTTGTCGAGAGGGAGGTAGGACACGACGTTGCTAACGTGGTGTTCCCACTACACACGAGCTATCCTGTGCAGACAATTGTTGTTAAATGCT